TGTCTTTAAACATTATGTAATATTATTTTATGCACTGTCATCATTTTTCAAATATTGAGACTTTCATAATGTGAATTTGAACTCTCATGGTCCTGAAACTGTAATCTTATTGAAGGGGTGGATTGAGACCATCTTCTGGGTCTTCCGGGAGACAGTCAGGTTATTAAGTTTATATTGACTGGTATCTATTTTTTTCTGTTGGAAGACCATCAAAATGGAGGATGGATCAACATAGATACTTTGGAATACTGTCAGAAAATATCTCTGGGTCTGCTCCTGTTATTGACCATGTTACCCGTTGTACAAGATTAAAATTCAGTGTTGACTGACAGTGCTATTATAAGCATTATTTATTATTGCATCAAAATTGACAAAATGACCTTTTTTGCATCTTTATTTTCTGTTTTTTGTCTGTACATTTGACAGCTTTGCTGCCTTGTTTATATATATAATTTGAACAGTGCAGGTGTACAGTAGTTGTACATAGGGAAAATATTTTGCACTGTGATCCAACTGTGTATAATCAGGCCTGTACGGTGGGGGGGGGGGGTCTATGAACAACCCTTTTTGCAGGGAGTTGTCTGCTCTGAATAAAAATTGATCTACATACATGAAGGCTTAATGGTAAAAGGTCCACTATTTCAGGAAAAGAGCTCCCAATTTCAGGATGGAATCGCTGATTACGGGCCTGATAATAATAATTCTTATCAAACTAGTTGTAAGTGCATACAGGAGCACATTTCATTATCTTCAAATCAAGATTTGATCTAGTTACCTCTGCCAAGGAGGTTATGTTTTCAACCCTGTTTGTCTGTTTGTCTGTCTTTCTGTCTGTCATCAACATAAGTCAAAAAGTTATGGACCGATTTTGATGAAATTTTCAGGAACTGTCAGAAGTGGGCCAAGGAACAGATGATTAGTTTTTGGTGGTGATCAGGATCAATAATCAATCAATAATAATAATAAAAATTGCTGCCTTGGCGGAGGTCTGCGGTCTCTGAGTCCTTTTCTAGTTGGCTATATATTTATAGTTAGCTATATATTTATTCTCAATTTCAGATATGTGTTGAGGCTCCTTCCAAAGTTTCTCCAAGTCCCTGTGAATGGACGACCATCAGAAGTCCGTGCTCTTAAAGGTACAATAGAACTAAGTGTCGGTGGAGCATGGATTCCCAGTAAAGCAAATTAACCACTTCTGCAGTGTACTAGTTTCTTATACGACTAAAATAAAGTCAACATGCTAAGGGATAAACTGAATTAATCATTTGATCAGACATAAAAGAGCTTTAAACCGCACCTTCTTCAAAATTTTGGTCATAAATTTGACTTGCTTATCTGACCAACTTGTCTGCCCTGTTAATATACAGCACAGAAGGCAAACAAAAATCTGTTCAAATATCATTATGGAACAATGTCTTTTGGCATTTCTTTAAGTTATACCATTTGAAACAATATGGTGGCATTCAGTCTGTTTTTGAGGCAAAAAAAAAATGACTTCAAATGCATCTTTAAAAATGATAGTAAGACTTTATTAACAAGAGAGACAGGGCTATACAGTGTATGTACCTTTAGCATATTTTAACAGCAGGCTCACTGTAAACACAATAATGGTCTCTCGTTGGGGATCAGTGATTGCATACCAGATCTCATTTTAGTTTTTCATGTTTAATACATACACTTTGACAATGGTAATCACATGGACCATGCACAACACCTATATTTTAAGCCACATAAAAACACTTTGACATTGCTCAATATACTTATCATCCAGTCCCATATAAAATTTGATAATACACTGTCCATATGCCCTTTCTAGAAGGAAGTCCTCTCCCCACCAACATCAGCCTGACCCTGAAGAGAGGGGACGTCTTCAACAATGAGAGTACCAGTGCTGAGTGGTGGGAGGTTCAGGAGTTTGTCAGAGGGAGATACAACCTGAACTCAAATGACAAACTGGTTAGAAGAGATTACCTGACACTGGTGGCCTTCAGTGAGAGGGTGGCACCTCCTGGGTTTGATTTGCTCACAGGATATGGGTAAGTGTGGTTGAGTGTGTTGGGTGAGAGGCTGAGTGTGGTAGGTAAGAGAGAGGAGTGTGATAGATGAGAGAAGTTTAGTAGGTGAGAGGCTGGGTGTGGTAGGTGAGAGGCTGAGTGTGGTAGGTGAGAGAGAGGAGTGTGATAGATGAGAGAAGTTTAGTAGGTGAGAGGCTGGGTGAGGTAGGTGAGAAGCTGAGCATGTTAGGTGAGAGGCTGAGTGTGGTAAGTGAGAGGCTTAGTGTGGTAGATGAGAGAGAGGAGTGTGATAGGTGAGAGACAGTGTGATAGGTGAGAGGCTTAGTGTGGTAGGTGAGAGAGAGAGAAGTGTGATAGTTGAGAGAAGTGTAGTAGGTGAGAGGCTGAGTGTGGTAGATGAGAAATGTATTCTTATGGTGGTTTCAATTGGTGGTTACAGAATGCATGTTTATACATGTGAATACATCTATGGTCTGTTGTGAGGGGGGGTAAATAGTGTGCATGTACATGTGTGTGTATGTTCTTTTCTAAAGGAGCTGATAAGTGTTGTTGTGTTTTGAACAGGTGAGGGCCTTGAGTTTTGGACAGTTGTTCTATTGACTTGTGAGCATGGCATGCCAGCTTTTTTGCTTGTTCATGTACATGTGAATGTTTTATTTGAGAATATTTACAGTATATGCTGTGATAACTTTTTGTATTTTTTTAAGGTTTTGAAGATAATGAATGACAATTAAAATTCTTTTTAATGCTGTCACTTCATCTAAGCAACCATTGTTTACATCCTCTATGTTTCTTATAACTCTGCTTTATCTATCATGCATTGCAACATTTCTCTTCTATTGATTATGATGTTATCTTTTAAATTCAATAGAATTAAGTTTATATTTTTATTTTTTGTTGTTGACAATGCACTTCAGTTTGATAGCTTCCCCCTGCCCCTCCCGATCAGATCCCCTTCCCCTGGGTTATCCTGAAGTATTATGCATTCACCATTTAGTTTTTTTATCTTGTTTTACATGCCAGTGAGTTAGACCTGTCTTCTAATGATGGTTTCTATGAGTTTGCATGATTTTCAACTTTAAACTGCTTTTGATTTCACATTTTTTACACTCAGAAATACTGTGACTTTTTAATGCTGCATCATTTTTCTATTAATGTGTTTTTTAATTTTAAAGTTAAGAAATATTTGAATTTTAAGATTATAAGCATTTTAAAGTTGTGTTCACAGTGGAACTAAGATAGACCCTTCAGTGACTTGATGACGTCACCCAACAACCATATCATGAAACCAGTGTTTTTAGTGTCTGAGGCAGGGTGGATTTTAGTTACATCATAATTTTGCCAGATGCCAAAGATGATCCACATTTGTTTAAAAAGAATAATTATTTTATGTTGACAATTACTTGCTATTTTGACTCAAAATTGTGATTGGCTAATTGTTTTCAGCAGTTGAGCTGAAGGAAAATTTAAGCTAGAATGAACCCTGTGTTACAATCCTTACAGAATCTGGCTGTCTTGTGACATCATATAGTCTACAACAGGTCTTAGTTTGTCCTCCTTTGACCAAAGCAAGGCTCTAACACCTTGTGTTTTTACTTCAGTGTTGATATGTTGTATGGTTTTATCCTTATTGTTTCCCAGTGGATGACGCATGGTTTCAGAATTACTTTGTTTTTTGTTCAACTTCATGTTTCAATTTTTTTGGTTTTGAAAATGTAAGAATTAAAGCTATGTTTTCAGCATGGTTTTATATCAGTGTTGTCTGTGTTTAGATGTAACAGGAGAATATGAAGAATGATTAAGTGTCTTTTAATTGTCATATTACTTTTAAAATTCATCAAAAGGTGTTATTTAATTTGCTGTAGGCAGTTATTGTATTAAAATACTATCCACGTGTTGAATTGCAGTAGATTTTTTTCTTGAATTGTTGAATTTCGTTTTTAAGAGAGTGTTAGTTAAAACAAGTGAAAACATCAACAAATTGAAAGTCAGTTATATACATGTACTTAAGTTATAAAAATATTGTACAAAATGTTTTATTTATTTTATTTATTTATTTTATTATTATTATTATTTTTGTATTTATTTATTTTTATTATTTTTTTTTTTTTTTGCAAAATTGAAAATTGACAGTTATATTAATAGCATAGCAGTACTTATTGTTCTTTGCTGCTCACAGGGCTGTCAATTATTTTACCATGTTTAGTGACAGCTAATAAGAAGGGTATTATGTATGCCATTCATAAGTTCCCTCATGATCAACTTCTCATATGCCAATTGACCTGTTTCACACTGTCACAGTCTGTCCTCCATGTTATGTGCCCACTTTTACAGCATCATCGGCCTGTATCTCTCCTTCATTCTGGTCATTGGACGAATCTTCCGCTACAGCACCACTGGGCTTCTTTCTTGGATTATGTTCCGAGAACTGCCATACGTGGATCGAATTCTCAGCCTCTGTTTGAATATCTACCTTGTACGTGAGATGAAGGATTTCAAGCTGGAAGAGGAGTTGCTGGCAAAGTTGTTGTTTGTGTATCGTTCTTCAGAGACGATGATTAAATGGACACGTCGACCCAAGCAGGATTAACAACTGCCCATCACATTGAAATTTATAGATATGAGTCAAATGTAGTTTGAATCACAAGGTTGATTCTAATTGTTTGCTTAAAACTACTATTGTTTAAAGAAAGTTTTAGAAAGATTAAACGGCAGCTGAGCTCTATTTATAACTTACACAGTTTTATTATAAGATATTAGTCTCATTTCTAATGTTTTTACACGGTTTTTGTGTGTGCCTTTTTTCTTTTGAACTCTTTTCTTCCTTTAATATGTTGAGTAAAGGTTATTTCTTCCAACATATTCAGTGGATATTCTGTAGGTTTTATAAAAAAATGTAAAAATAGTTATTAGTTTATTAATAACTATTTAAGAAAGAATTTTTCTGCTTTTGACACCATTGTAATGTTTAAGGTATGCTCATCAAATTTGACTCTCTGATTATCAGTCCTAAGCTTTGTTAACTTTTGACTTAGATTGTTCTTTTCTATTTTGACACTCATTAGAGAAAGGAATATCAGTATTTGTCCTTAGTATCTCCATAAGTAAATGAATGATCACACAGAAGTGCATTTTAAATTGTTACAGAAAATTTTGTTAACATGTGCTGTAGATAGACACTTGCAATATTCTATAACATGTAAACTCCAAAAACTGTCATTAATGGCAGTGTCTTAAACTGCTTCCC